ACAGAGAGGGGTATTTTTGAAACCCCTACATACTTATTAAACCTTAATAGGGAACACACAGGATTAGCAGCAGCACTGTAACATGGCTGCCTGATAAAAGCAAATACAAATACACAAAAATAAGTCCTGCGCTCAGACTCCCACTACTTCTGGGCGGCAGCAATGACCATATCACATGTATTGGGGCTGTTGTGTACTATGGTCACCGTGCCTATGTTTATAGTATGCTTATCTCTCTCTATGTCTCTGTATCTATCCATCTGTCTATTGTTAATATATCAGACGATCTTCTTGTCTGCCTGCTTGCTTTTTTATATCTCTAATGCAGATTTTCACAGAGACATTGTGCATATCAGTGATTTTTACATGAGACACACCCTTAATTGTATGCCCTTTGTTGAAAATAAATTACAATCGTATGGCCAGCAAAAATAAGACAAAAAATGTTTTCCTTGGCGTCTAGCATTGCTCTGAATACATGGGCAAACAGAGGGATACTGGATTATGTTAAATCGACTTAGTCACCTCAGAACATTTTGTACATCTTGATTTGAAAACTATCTGTTCACATATTACCCCAGGGAATAAAAACAGCAGCAATGGGTCATCAAAATAAGAACTGGAATGGTGCCATATTTTAATTAGCTGCTCTGCTTTATATTGAACTTGCGTCTAAGTACATTTACAATGAGAATTAATATACGTTTCTAATTATACAATTAACTCAACATATCTTGCTAACAGAATAGTCACCATTTCATTTAGGGGGTTTTGCTTTGTTTCTGTTTTTCTAAACTTGTCTGAGGGGAGATGGTTCTTCTGCTAAAAGGACAAAGAACCTTACAACATTATTATATTAGTGTGATCACTCAATGTACAATTTTACAATACAAGCAGGTGGAGATGATGTACTCCATCATTTAATCAGCTTGAATGGTCCCAGGTCCAAACATGGAGCATCTGTTGAATTTTATGTCTTCATCTTCAACCATACAATTCTAATGTAAATGGTGAATATTAGGAGATGTAAGCATTTAATCAAGTACATGGTAAAAGACTTAACAGTAGCTCAGCATGAAAAGTATCTTCAAACTCTGAGTACAATGCGTGCATCTGAACAGAGAACAAAAAGGACCATGGAGTGGGCAAAGAATAATGGAAAGATGTATCTGGGAAAGATGTATGTGAACAAGAATTACATGGGGCCAAAAAAGTGCCAAGGAAGAAAATAAGGAAAACGGGTGGTACAAAAAGGGTAAAGACTGGTACACTGTGCAAAAGAGGAATGCACAGGGTGGCAGAGAACAACACCAAGATTAAAGAAGATCAGGCTATGAATGGCCAAAACAAAGACAAAGAAAGAAAGCAAAGAAAAATAAAAGAATTGACAAAGGTGATGAGGTAAAACAGCTATAAGGGATATATATGGCAAAAAATATCACAAGATGAATGAGCAAACAATGAGCACAGAGGACATTAGGCCCTAAATACTAATTGGGAGGGACCTAATGTCCTCCCCCCAGGCTCCCACACCTGAGCGGTGGGTGGGGGCTCTAAATTAGAATGAGGGGGGGACCTAATGTCCTCCCCTCTGGCCCCCACCCCTGAGCAGTGGGTGGGGGCCCTAAATACTAATTAGGAGGGACCTAATGTCCTCCCCACTGGCCCCCACCCCTGAGCTGCGGGTGGGGGCCCTAAATAAAAAATTAACCCCCACTCTCCAGGTGACTAGGGGTCCCCAAACCCCTAGTCACCCCCCTCGCCAAATCAATTAACCCCTACCTACCCCCCTCATCCTAAAAATAGTGAGGGGGACCATTAGCTAAGTACCTGTTAAAAAATAAAATAAAATAAAACCATTTGATGTTTTCTTTCTTCTAAAATCTTATTTTTTCAGCCCCAAAAAAGCCCAAATAAAAAGCCATAATAACCGACACACTTTAAAAAAAAACTAAAAAAAAACAAGCGCAAAAAAAAATTATCCATCTTCACCCGGCGAGGGCTCCGCACAGACTGAGCTCTGCAGGGCAGGGGAAGGCTTATAAAGCCTTGCTCCACCCTGCAATTAGGCTCAGAGCACTCTGATTGGTGGGCTTAACCCCTTAAGGACCAAACTTCTGGAATAAAAGGGAATCATGACATGTCACACATGTCATGTGTCCTTAAGGGGTTAAGCCATCCAATCAGAGTGCTCTGTCAGGTAAATGAAGAGACTGACAGGTAAGTCTCTACATTTACCTGTCACAGCACTCTGATTGGTTGGCTCGAAATCCACCAATCAGAGTGCTCGGTGTCATTTTACACAGCGTGGGAAAGTTCTTTGGAATTTTGCCAATCTGTGTAATTTGACTCATAACACTCTGATTGGTTACTTAATCCACCAATCTGAGTGGTATGAGTCAAATTACACAACATAGGAAAATTCCAAAGAACTTTCCCATGCTGTGTAAAATGACCCAGAGCACTCTGATTGGTGGATTTTAAGCCAACCAATTAGAGTGCTGTGACAGGTAAATGTAGAGATTTACCTGTCAGTCTCTTCCTTTACCTGTCTGAGCCCTCTGATTGGATGGCTTAAACCCACCAATCATAGTGCTCTGAGCCTAATTGCAGGGCGGGGCAAGGTTTTATAAGCGCAGAGCCCTCGCCGGGTGAAGATGGATAATTTTTTGGGGCGCTTTTTTTTGTTTTTTTTTAAAGTGCGTCGGTTATTATGGCTTTTTATTTGGCCTTTTTAGGTCCCATCCTCATTCCAATTTAGGGCCCCTACCCACCGCTCAGGGGTGGGGGCCAGGAGGGAGGACATTAGGTCCCCCCCCTTATTTTACTGTAGGAGGCTGGGGGGGGCAATAGGTCCCCCCTTCAGGTTAGAAGCCCCCACTCGCGCAGTACTGGTGGGGGCTCGGGAGGGGGCTATTATGGCTGTGGTTGCTGCCTGGCGTGTAGGTCCACTAGAAGTAAAAAAAGAGGCATTTCACTAACATCCAGGAACACATTAATAGAGACTTCACTATTAAAGATCAACTAACATGTTTTTCGAAAGGTGTAATATACGTATTAAAATGTCCTTGAAATTTACTTTTTATAGGTAGCACTATCAGATGTGTACATATTAGGATTTCAGAGCATGTGCGTAATATCAAAAATGGATTGGAGACCCATAGTGTCTCCAATCACTTTAAGAAACATCACAACCAAAATCCAGAGAATTTGTTCTTCTGTCCTTTAAAACTTGTCAAAAATGATTGGAGAGGGGAAAATTATATAAAAAAACTAGGCACAGAAGAAATGAAATTCATCTATAATTTTAATACACTTATACCTCAGGGCCTTAACTCAGATTTTGAAATATGCCACTTCTTTTAATTAAGTAAAAATAAACTTAAAAAAAGGTATTATCACATTTATTGGCACTTATACTTGGACTTTTTTTCCCCCACTGGTCTAGAAGACTGGGATCAGAATTTATTCATCTGTGAGCTTACACAGACCTACCTTTTGGGCATTTCTCCATAAATCCCCCTTTTCTTGTAATGTCACAGACAATTCCTCGTAAGAATTTTTCTGAAAAAGTTTTATATTTAATACCATTGAAATGTTTTTTTAATAGCTTCTTCCATGTATATAAAATCTCTGTACATGTTTTCTGTAGTGATAGATTTCGTTATCATCTAAAATGTTTAAATATTTTTCGTAATAACAGATTACATAATGAAATATTGTTGATACATTCCTTCCATAAAGTTTGTATTAACAATATATGCTCATTCACTTTTATACATTTGATCCAAATTAGAAAGAGATATTTATGATATCTTATAGAATGAGATTAGAATTTATGAATGAATTCCTAAATGGAACGCACACGTCACGCACCATGCGTTCCGCTGATGTCAGCTGTGCGCCCGAGTTGACGCTAGTGACGCGACCTGGAAGTTAAGCGCATGGCGCTTGAATTTGAATGCATTATGCGTTCCAATGTGCAACATTAGAACCCGGAAGTGGACAGACCAGGCGATTTCAAAAGAATCAAAGAAATCACTTCACACTACTGCCGACTGAGGAAGCTCCTGATACGGGCGAAACGCGTTTCGGACATCAAGATATCATCAGCCATCTGGCCAAATATGGACTATTTTAGCCCTACAGCCTTTTTATTTACCAATATTTTATTATTATTTTTTGTATAATTTACTTGGATGAATAAAGCTTTTTTGTGAAGACATCACACCTGCACAGCTCAACCTTATTCTATGCAGTTTGGAATACCACAAAAGCATCCAGAAAATGGACAGGGGCGTCCCATTGAAAAGTCCTACTGCGCTATTCATGAGAGCCATATGACACTATTTGGCTCCCTGTTTGTGAGTACCTGATTTTGACAGTATTCATATAAATATACACTGCTAAAAAAATAAAAAATAAACACTTAAACAACACAATGTAACTCCAAGTCAATCACACTTCTGTGAAATCAAACTGTGCTCTTAGGAAGCAACACTGAGTGTCAATCAATTTCACATGCTGTTGTGCAAATGGAATAGACAACAAGTGGAAATTATAGGCAATTAGCAAGACACCCCCAATAAAGACCTAGCTGTCCCCCTCTGATAGCGCTACTCCTACCTCTTTATGTTTTGGTGGGCTACAATTCTCTCACACTCCCAGACTCAACTGTAAAGGAGGCGGCGTAGGCATCCTTCTCTCCCCCCAATGTACCTTTCAACCAATCATAACTCCCCCTGCCCTATGCTTTTCTTCTTTTGAAGTTCACACTGTCCGCCTATTTAAACCCACTCCTTTAAGAATTGCTATCATCTACCACCCCCCTGTTATCCTAGACTATTCATTGATCACTTTTCTTCCTGGCTTCCCCACTTCCTCTCATCTAGCACTCCTTCCCTTATACTTGGGGATTTCAACATCCCAATCAATAACCCCAATTGAACTGATGCCTCTTGTCTGCTCTCTGTAACCTCCTCCTTTGGCCTTACGCAATAGTCCAATTTAGCAACCCATACAGCAGGAAACACTCTTGATCTTGCCTTCACCAACCTCTGTACTGCCTCTAATCTCTCCAATATTCCTTTTCCTCTATCTGACCACCATCTGCTGACTTTTGACATTGGCATACCTAAGACCCAATTGACACCACCGTCTGAACATCACTCTCACAGAAACCTCCAATGTCTTGACCTAGAGCATTTCTCCACTAATCTCCAAACTCTCCTTTTACCTATCTCAAACCTCACCTGTCCTAGTTCTGCAACCTCCTACAATTCCACCCTCTCCTCTCAACTAGACATTATGGCACCTTGTACATTTAAACGCTGCAGGCCCCCCCAACAACAACCCTGGCACACCAAGCTCACTCGATACCTCCAAAAATGCTTCAGAACTGCTGAACGCTGTTGGAGAAAGTCTCACTGTGCATCTGACTTTCTCCACTATAAAGTTATGCTGAGCTCATTCAGCTTTGCTCTTTCCTCTGCAAAAGTTAATTACTTCAATACCCTCATAACCACACTCTCCCGCGAACCCAAACGACTATTTCACACATTTAACTCTCTTCTTTGCCCTGCTGTTCCTCCTCCACCTACTAACTTGACCGCCTCAGACTTTGCAACTCACTTCACTGACAAGATCTCTACAATCAGAGAAGAGATCTCTCATCTTTCTTCTTCCCCTTACAAGACTTCCCCTAACTTCACTCCCTCTGCTGCTCTATGTTCATTCGCACCCGCTACATTGGAAGAAAAATCTTGGTGTTCTCTGGCAAATGCCAAACGTCCTGCACGGTGTTGGGCTGTAAGCACAACCCCCACCTGTGGATGTCGGGTGCTCATACTACCCTCATGGAGTCTGTTTCTGACCATTTGAGCAGACACATGCACATTTGTGGCCTACTGGAGGTCATTTTGCAGGGCTCTGGCAGTGTTCCTCCTGTTCCTCCTTGCACAAAGGCGGAGGTAGCGGTCCTGCTGCTGGGTTGTTGCCCTCCTACGGCCTCTTCCACGTCTCCTGATGTACTGGCCTGTCTCCTGGTAGCGCCTCCATGCTCTGGACACTACGCTGACAGACACAGCAAACTTTCTTGCCACAGCTCGCATCAATGTGCCATCCTGGATGGTTGTAGACTCCGTCTCATGATACCACTAGAGTGAAAGCACCGCCAGCATTCAAAAGTGACCAAAACATCAGCAAGAAAGCATAGGAACTGAGAAGTGGTCTGACCTGCAGAAGCACTCCTTTATTGGGGTGTCTTGCTAATTGCCTATAATTTCCATCTGTTGTCTATCCCATTTGCACAACAACATGTGAAATTGATTGTCACTCAGTGTTGCTTCCTAAGTGGACAGTTTGATTTCACAGTAGTGTGATTGACTTGGAGTTACATTGCGTTGTTTAAGTGTTCCCTTTATTTTTTTGAGCAGTGTATTTACTGACAATATTACACTATATTGTTTTACGTTTAATTTAGATTTTTCCAGACATGTTATCCACCAGTTGTATGTATTCTGAAGTACCCGAATGTCCGAATTTCATATTCGGACCGAAACGAATTGCACATGTCTAATGATATCTTTAGCTCTTCAATAAACAGCATTTATTGATTATGCTTAATGGTTCCCCCAATGTAAATAGTCAAACTGCTTGCTAACAATTTGATTTCTTACCTGGGGTTTGCTGGGTTATGGTGCTACGTGCTGCAGTGGTTATGGTGCTTGGAGTGTTACTTTAAGACTTTTTTAGATCTCATTCATCATATCCATGAATTTAATTCTATTTATTTTATTTCTTGTTCTTTTTTGGTATTATCATTTTCTTTTCCACTCATGACACATATTTTTGAATTCTGAAGTAATGATTGTGTCCCTTGTGACTTCAATGAAACACTGTTTCCACGTCTGCCTGATCTAATTTTTATCTTAGTCTGTTTATTTTTTCACATTGGTTTTGATATATTTATTTTACATTATATTGCCCATGGGTATACTCTGATACAATTACTACTGTACTACAGGAATGTTATAACTGATATTCTTTATAGTCTATATTGTTTTGGTTAAAATAATATAATGTCCTTCTCGTATAATTTGTTATAGTTTAGTGTTACCATTACATATATATATATATTTGATTACGTTTTCACTGGATAGTCAATATAGCAATATCCTGTTCTTCAAAGCATGTACTTCTATATTCATTTGACTTATGTGAATTGTTTGCCAGATTATGTTGCATTTCATTGCTGGTTTATACCCTAAGTTATAGATACACAGTCACACTCCTTCACCAGTCCAAGTAGTTTTACTTTGTATTTTGTGCTGGCTTAGCACTTGTTATATAAGCACTTTTAATGTTTTAGTGCATTCTGGATTTTTAAAGAATAAAAGTTGGAGCTGGAGCAGACATGTGGTGCCTGGGCTCCCAACCTTTGGCTGTTTTTGTTGCATTTACCCCAACTACCAGGCAACTTAATCTACTCACAGATGCCTCTTAGGTTAATGGTTCATGACTGAACAGTGTGACACTTCGCTCAAGGCAACAGTCTGCTGATAATCCAAGGTGCCTGGCTGCAGCCTTCTATGGATGGGATGGGGGGTCTCCTTAAGCTCCTGTTCTCTAGTCTATTTGGACTGTTCGCCTATAGACTGGTGGGGGATATCTCAGTCCCCACTGAGCTGTTTGGCTCTATGTATACTGCTCCTGCCTTGTGCCACAGGCTCTCGGCACACAACAGGAATCTGAACGCAAGATGGCAGCTTCCCATCAACTCACTTAACATGGCCTATGCCCACACCACGAGCCTCAGCATAGCTCCATCGCATGTATACTTCTCCACCTGGATGAAATATTCCAGACCTTCTGGATGAAGATTCTTGAATGCACAAGTGCAGAGTGTCAGGCAGGAAGAAAACTGCTGAAGCCAGAAGAGTCTCATCGGGGTAACACTGAAGATGTCCCTGCACATCTTTACCAAAAGCCCAACTTAGCTCCTCACCATCTCTTTCCTGTGCAGCACTCTGGAGGAGACCAAAGGACTTCTGCTCAGCTAATCTGTCAGCGTTTCTTTGAGAAGGACCAGAGGCCCTGAGCAGGGTGTTGGAATCTTCATGTATGCTTGCTTCTGTTGGGTTCCCCACATAAGGTTGAATCGACTCCTGCACTTATGTGTCTTTGGCCTCCCATACCTGGGTGTTGGCTAAGAAGTCTTGGGCACAGACCACAGATTATCTGTAGCACAGTTTGTTTCCCTTACAATGCTGGCTTTAATATTCTGTGATAGGCTATAATCTTACTGTCCTGTAGTTCATCGTACTTAACTTTCTTCCTGCTTGTTTCTCTATCTTGCAATGCTATAGTGCAACCCAGTGGTTATCATCTCTTGTAATTCTCATAGCCCATTTTTTATTTACTGTTTTATTGCTCTATGTCATTGGTTCACTAGCATGGACTGTATAGCAGCTTTTACTATACCCTAGTCTTATCCATGCCTTATCACCTTAGACGATTTACCACGTTAGTAGCCATAGATGTTTAGCATGTAAAATGTACTTCCTACTAAATAAAAAAAATGCAACATGTCATGTTTAATACCAGTTAAATGTCATGTCTATTTCAATTCTGTTGACATGCCGTTTCAAGCCTGTATGTTTTTCTCTGCATACCATAAATAAAGAATGTCCAAAAAAAAAAGTTGATACCTTGTAATATTACACTTTATGCACTTTCCTATCATTATGCATATTTGCTGATAGTTCTGTATTACCTTAGAATGTAATATCCAAACATTAAACATTACTTCCATTATAGCAATACAAGCCTTGTTTCCTGGACATGAACATCTGCTTGGTTATACTGCATTGTTATAATGTTTAAAGAGGAATGCTATTAAGGGAGTCACTTATATTTGGAAAAATTTACATTGTGTTTGATTTTACTCTATTTTCTATGTTATTCACCTGTCATGGAGCCAATTTTCTCTAAAATGATTTTGTTTATGTTTCTTTTTTGTTGATGAAATATTTGTATCATATAATTTCTATTTTGCAGAATTCACACACTATTTTTAAAGGGACACTGTAGACATTAAAGCTATTTTATTTTATTTAACTGGTTATAGTGCCTTTAGTCTCTCCATTCAGTGTTAAACCATTTTCGAGCCCTTTAACCATGAACAAGAGTCAAAGTTGGCCCCTGGAAGTGTGTCAAAGTCAGAGATTACACTCTTCCTTGACCATTTCACTAGATACCAGCAGTGGGGCTTCTCTGATGGACTTAAAAAAGCTAGGTGATCATCTCAGCCAAACACCAACACCCATTGCTGCTCAGTATGCTTTCTCATTAGCGCAAACAGCACAGAGGGCACTAGTTGCAAGCCAAATGACTGTCATTATTATCATTTAGTATTTATAAAGCTTATTAAAATGTACAGTATGAATTATATATTGTAGCTCTAAGATGTTAGCTTCACTCCTGTTATGAATGTTGCAATAGAAATGTATTTTTTACATTGTAAAATGTCACAACTATGTTATTATTTGGCAATAATAACAAACAACGCCTATTGGTATAACTTTATTAATGTAATAAATGTTATGTCTTTTATTATTAAAACTGACCTATGTTTGGCCCAGTTATTGAAATAAGCTTTAAATATCTGTTACGCTATTGCCAAAAAAATGTTGAATGTGCAAAAACTCTCCAACTAAAATGTTTGTAGAACATTAGCCAAATAACAGTGTCGATTTCTAAATTCTGAAATCTTATACTAGTCATCTTTTTAAACGCAAATCTTACATGTACAAATGATCCCAATAGTAGAAATAAACCACGTTTATATTTTTTTAATTTTATTTGATATAACATTATTTCAAATAATAAGAAAACCGATAAGGCACTTGTTGAAGAGTTAAAGAACGGTCGGACCAATCCTAACTCAGAACTGTCTCAAGAACAATGATTATCTTTCAAATTCTGGTTCTGCGTGGCTTAATAAGAAATGCAGAAATGAGATAGGAGAAGCATGGCTCGGGCCAAATATTAGATCCGAACCCTGTTAAAGAATGATAGCACATAAATCAATACCAGATGCCGCTGGCAAAGTTTGGTGCTCTGTTCTTAAACAGAATATTCTCTAAATAAACCATAAGCTCTCTTATTATTCAGAATGCTTTTACCTGAAGCACTTTGTGTTCTCTTTTTAATCTGAACAAAAGATTTGATAATCCCCAGAATGTGTAAATTATACATTAGATCATAGAGGAGTTGTTTAAGAGACATAAAGCAGCATAATCGAGAGGAATACATGTGCTGTTCTCAAGTCATATAGGTAGCTAGCTATATTTTATATGATGTAACATGCCTTTTAATGCACTCTATAAGAAAGAGTTGATGCATGTTACAGTATGGAAAACAAATACAAAACAAAGAACGTGGGT